CTTTTAGATTTTGAGTACTGAAAAGCAAAGGGAAAAACTAGTCCTCTCCTGCCACTTTGTCTGAGCTCCCAGGCCCAGCATGCTTCGTTTAATTGCACACAACCCAAACATTCTCCACATACACTGCCTGTCTTCTTAGCTCTCCATTCAGTGAGAGCAGAGCTTTTGGCCTCTCCAGTTTCTTCCAGGGTATTTTGAAATACATGCAGCATACTTCTGCATTTTTTTAAAACTTCTTTTAGATATATAGGAGCTTGATGTTTGATCTCTGGTTTTTCCTATTTTATATTTTCAAATAAACTTAATTTATTGTGTTTCATTTACATTTGTATAAAATAGATATTCCCTTAATTATAGCTGTCAATAATATTTCTATCTACTTTTACACAAATCAAGGTCCATTTAGAAGTGTCCTGCTCAGTTCTAAAATTAGGTCAGTACAACCACAAAATGTTTTCTGTCTCAGGAGGCCATCCATGCCCAGTGCCATCTGTTTTCTCCTGCTCCTCCTCTCCCCTTAGAATATCTTCTGAGTAATATTTTCCTGCTTCTCTATTCTCTTACTTTAAAAATATCAAAAACAACATCAGACCTAAAGAGATAATATATCAGGAGAATTAATACACTAGCTATACTATAATAAACACCAATTTTCAGTGGCTTAACATAACTCAAATTTATTTCTTGTTATGCCAAATCCAGTAAACCTTTCCTTCAAGCAATGACTCAGGAATTCTGGTTTCTTCTATCCTGTGGTAGCATCATCTTTTAGATCCTCGGAATCCTTTATCATAGCAGGGCGGCCTGAGAAAGGGATCAGAGAGAGTGGAAGCTTTCATGGAATATGTTGTGATCAGAACTAGAAGTTCATTGGCCAGAACTCAGGCACATGTCCTTGTCTAGATGCAAGAAGGTCTAGGAAATGTGTTGAGTTGTGTACCACGGAGGAGCCGATAGAGTGAACACCAGCAGCCTCTGCCACACAGACAGCCTCTCAGTTCTTTCCACAATCCATCGCCTCCGATGACCAGCCCTTTCCTAGGGCATACTTTAATGGACACTCTCCTCTCGCCATCCCAGCCACGCTGTTGCCTTCTCTGTTCTACCGATAGGGGGAACAGCATGGAATAGGAATAGGACCACAGTTGTTTAATGACTATTCACCTTACTAATTATAGATAAAAGGCTTCTTACAGACCTTGGGAAACTGGAAGATGAGCTACAAGAAGACAAACAGGGCTGTAAAGAAGATAAGATGCCTTAGAGCCCAAATGGTCCATTACTCAGAAAAGAAAATATATTTGAGAACAAAGGACAGGACACGTTTTGATTTAGTTGCTATGCCTGGACTCTGACCCCCTCTAGGAGTTTGCTGCAGGAATGCTAACCATTCTCCAGTCCAGCAACAGGCAGAGCTGTTTTCGCATTATAGAAAGTTAACTACCTGTTATCAGACTTTAAGATCCTGGAAGGAGACACATGGACCGTGGATCCTGCAGCCCTTACCCTGCCTCCCCTTCCCCCTTGCACTCAGCCCCTTTCGTACTTACCCTGTATAATCAGCTGACAAATAGAGGAGGTTAGAGCAGAATTACAGGATGACCTGCTGTGGTCTCCATACTGTTGGAATAAAAGCTCATATATGATTCAACCCTGTCTCTGCTTAATTTGGCTAAAGTAGTGACGGCCTCGGACCCACTGTGTTTCATTACCTCTCTGGTATCATCATTTTAACTCATCCAGAGTCATTCTTTCCACCATCCCAGGAAATTCCTGTGAATTCTCACCATGTCACTTCAAGTTCCAGGTATGAATGAAATGCTTCCAAAGATAATATCCTTGCCTCAGATTATGTTCATCCCTTTAATGTGTGTAAGAAATAAAAAATGAAGGAGAGCCCTGGCCGGTTTGGCTCAGCGGTTAGAGCGTCAGCCTGCCGTCCGGAGGGACCCGGGTTCGGTTCCCGCTAAGGGCATGTACCTTGGTTGCAGTTTGTCCCCGGCCCTGGTCGGTCGTGTGGGTGGCAGCCACTCGATGTGTTCCTTTCATATCGATGTTTCTCTCTCTCTCTCTGTTCCTCTCTCTCCCTTCACTCTACCTGAACAAAAGATGGAAAAATGTCCTCAGGTGAGGATAACAAAAAAAATAAAATAAAATGAAAAAATAAAGGAGAAAGAAACCAATAGAATCATCACCAGCTGTCAGAAGAAACCATCAATACTAAGTGTAAAACACAATAAAAATGGCTACAATGAAAATTCTAGAGAAGACAGAAGCTGAAATAAGAACATAGTTTTTTATAAAATATCAACAATATTTTTTTGATAATTGACACATGTCCACAATCCTTCAAAATTCCCTGAGATGAAAAGACAGCTCCCGGGGCACCTGCACAGATAGCCTCGGGGTGGATACTAGAGTCATGACACACGACTGCTCCAAAGGACCAGCTGCATGAGTCTCAGACCTGAGGTCAGTGACCCAAAGATGAGCTAAAATATTCTGAAAAGCAGTCTCTTAATCTGCACATCACTACTAAACCAGATATTTTTCTTCTCCAGAAACAAATATTAAAAACAACAACTCATGATGAAAACACCTCATTCAAACCTTGCTAAGAAATAGAGGGAAGTATTGCTGGATTTCTTAGTCTTTGCTCCTATCCAGCCAATCACATATAGGAAAGTAAAAATGTTTCTACTTAACTTCATTATGATGACACATTTTCTTTATGAGGCATGTTATAGTTTTCAAACTTATTTTAGCACCTTTATATGTCTTCAGAGACAAAGAGATATAACAGTTATCTCTTATATATAACAGTATAACAGTCCTTTTGATTTAAATTGACTTATTATTACCATTGAAACTTTTTTATTTTTTTCCCAATAAAACCTGGATTTAATAGCCAGAAACATATGCTGTGAATTTACTATCCCATGAAGACAGAGCAGTTGGATAATTCTCATTCCCAGAAATTCCAAGGGGAGGGGAAAAAATCAGTTTATATATATTCCTAGAGGGATTTTATCTATTGTGCAAAAAGAGGATTATCTGGCCCCCAAGCAGGTTCTGGGCTCCATGAAGTCTGTCCATTTCACAACTCTCGACCCAGTTCTTCCAGATGAAGAGATCCGAAGGCCTGTGATCATGAGCACTGATGAGGCTACACGCCCTTTGGCTCCAGTTAAATCCCTGGTGTCTGATGTGTGTGGGAGCTGTGGATGCTTGTTCCTGGTCCTGCTGCAGCCCCAGAAGTAGCTAGTTTAGGAGTGTAAGGTTGCTGATTCTGGGAGGCAGGGGCTGGGGTAGGAGGCAGTTCCATTTATACTTGATCACTGCCATCCTAACTTGACCCTGCTAATTTCTATTTGAGATCTGCAGCATTCCTGTGTAGCCCCCATTCTGACCTAGGTACGGAGGGGCCAGGACTTGAAACAGCTTTGAGATCAAGACTTTCTCTGTGAGCCAGAGGTCAGCCATGAGCATGGCTCATTGGTTGGTATCTCCCAGCTTCCATAGTTGATGAGCTTCTCAGAGTAGCCCCTCATCTTGTCCATATGCGCCCACGACACCTCAATGCGTTCATGTCGCACTAGTCCCGTAAGCAGGTTTCTCAACAGGTGGATGCCGGACAGACAGCCACATGTTCCCTGCTCCTCCCTGACCCGTGAGGCTGGGACTCCATTGGAACTTTTTTAAATAAAAAGTATTCTAAAATTTTACATGAGATCAGACTTTTCTTGGCTGGATGGAGTAATAGTTAACATTTTTATTTAAAGTGAAGAAGTAACTTAGAATAACATATTTTTCCCTGCCTCTTTTACGTACAGAAAGTCATAGATAATTTTTTCCAAAGGGTAAAGAAGAAGTGTTGTGTGAGTAATAAGATAAAATTTTACACAAATAACCAATAACATGAGTTAGACAGCTGTTGTTTATAAATTCTTTTACATGTACCACTTCTCTGGAAAGTTATTCAATTTAGGGGAAAATTATTTAAAGTGCAAGAGAATAGATGTTTTGCTATTGGGACCTTATTACACTATGCAACAAAGTTTAAATTATTTTTAATAATAATAATTTAAACTATTAAATCATAAATAGTGTGATACTTGTATTATTTTGGTTGCAGAAAAGATCCACCTGTAACCAGCTTCAGGGATAAGTGGAATTTACTATTATAAAATTACAGATCATGCTCTTTTATGCGCTTTCTCTCTCTCTCTCTCTCTCTCTCTCTCTCTCTCTCTCTCCCTCCCTCCCTCCCTCTATTTCTCTACCTCTCTTCAGAATAGATTTCTGTGCCTCCCAGATAGAAATGGAAGAATGTGTGGCTGACAATATATACCAACCTACCCTCTCTTTAAGAGAGTACCTCAACCAACACCCAGTTCTTAATTCCTGCAAATAAATCTCAGCTTATTCCAGTTTGAATCAGGTTTTGAACCTCTACTGCAATCAACTATGGCAAGGGCTGGGTCATTTCATTCAGATGAGGATGAAAATCCCACCGCTGGTATGGTTCAAGGAAGACACACTATATGGCAACACAATGGCAAGAATAATGTTAGCATTAACATATGGAAAAGTAAGCTTGCACAATGATTAATCAGCTACCTTAACTGGAATTTTAAAAATTAATTTGACTGATTAAGTGTCTGCTTTAGTAGCATGTTACATGCAATCTCAATGAGCTACTTAAAGATCAAGTTAATGTTCTAGCTCCATCATTGGCTTCCTTCAAACATCTCACAACTATGAAGAAGATTCCTATGGACATAGATCATCTCTCTCTCTCTCTCTCTCTCTCTCTCTCTCTCTCTCTCTCTCTTCCATTGCTCTGTGTTACCACACAGGTTCTGAATCTCTTAGCTTCAGGGCACTCAGTCAGAAAGATCACCATATGGATATCATCCTCTGAAGTTCAGGTACACAGTAGTTCTCTTTATATGGTAGAACATTTAGATCCTGTCATGGTTCACTGTGCGTGTGCGTGTTGTAACTTACTTCTCCAACTGCATTGCAAACTTGTGGAGGCCATGCATTAGATAACTAGATTAGTTATCTATTGCTGTATAACAAATTAAACAAAAGATTAGCATCTTAAAACAACACATATTTATTATCGCACACAATTTCTGAGTTAGGAATCTGGGAGCAGCTTTCCTAGGGGCTTCTGGCTCCAGGGATTTCATGAGGTTCCTGTCAAGCTGTCAGTCAAGGCTGCAACCTTATGAGAAGTCATCTGATGGCTTGACCAGACTTAGAGGATCCACTTTGAAGATGGCTTGCTCAGGTGGCTATTGGCAGAAGGCCTCAGTTCATTACAATATGGGCTTCACAGAGCCGCCTGGGTGTGTTCATGGTATGTCAGCTGTTTTCCCTAGAGCAAGTGATAAGAGAGACAAAGAGAAAGAGCCCCAGTGCCTTTTTATGATTTAGTCTCCAAAGTCATGCACAACTGAGAAGCAAGTCACTAAATCCAGCCACCCTCAAGGGGATTCCACCTTAGAAATACCAAAGAAATGGTAGACTATTTTTAAAACTACCATCAATATTTTCATGGCATCTTCAGAGTTTACCTCAGAAACACTACTTTTTATTTGTTTAACTGATTGCATTGTACAATTCACCAAAGTGAGGAATAGGAGTGTGATATTGTGATTTATAGTAAGAAATATACATTTAGTCTTTATCGCATTTCTGGCACAGCTCCTAAAACCCTGGGGATTTTGTAAGTGATGAGAGCAACAGAGGTGTCTTGTTATATTAATGAGTGAGTTTTTGGCTGGTTGCCAGGAGAACTAACCATGTGGTTAGACAGTTGGAACTTTCGTTCCCACCCCTAGACCCCCTAGAAGGGGAGAGGGCCTCGGATTGAATCAGTTGCCAATGGCCAACGATTTAATAAATTATGATTTTGTAATGAAACCTGTATAAAAACCCTAAAGGACTGGGTTAAGAGAGCTTCCAGTTGGTGAGTGAGGGGGATTTTAGGACAGTGGCATTCCAGGGAGGGCATGGAAACTCTGCTCCCCCTCTTCATATCTCGCCCTATGGATCTGCTCCATTTGGTTGTTCCTGAGTTACATCCTTGTGTAGTAATCCTGAGATCCACAAAGTAAAATGTTTTTCTGACTTCTCTGGGCTACTCTAGCAAATTAATTGAACCCAAGGAAGGAAGGAAGGGATCATGGGGACCTCTGCTTTATAGTTGGTCAGTCAGAAGTGCAGGTAACAACTTGGACTTTTGACTGGCAACTAAAGTCCAAGAGGAGGGGTCACTGGAACCTCTAGTTTGTAGATTTGATCATAAACACAAGTAACAAGCTGAAATTACTACTGATATCTGAAGGGATGGGGGAGGGGACAGTCTTTTGGGACTGCACCCTTAACCTGCAGGATCTGATGCTAATCTGGGTAAAGTGTCAGAATTAAGTTGAATAGTAGGACAGTTGGATGATATACACAGAGAATTTGTGGTGGTGTGGGGAACCCCCTCCCCCACATTGGATAATGGGTGCTCAGAACACCCAAAAAGGAGCAAATCAAGATCATACCTCAAAATACTTGCTTTTTATCTCCAACTATCTAGAAAAGTGTTTAATTTACATGTTTATCGCTTTCAATGCATTAATTGCATTGATTAATTAATTGTACATTTTTCCTTTCCTTTAAAACCATTATTTGAGCCCAAACCTTAACTCAGAACAATTAAATCAGAATCTCTTGTAGAGAAAGTTAGGTATTGGTGGTTTGTTTAATTCCTCAGAGATTCTAATATACGCCTATCGACAAGAACCACTGGACTAGATCATTTTTAATGTCTTTTTCAGCTCCAACTTGTTATGGTTTATTCTCTTCCATAATAGTTTTCTGGGATTACAGCACTTCCCTCATGGGAAACCTACACAAAAATGGATCTATCTAGTTACCTAAGGAAAAGATAATAGGTATTTCTTGATCTCCTGGCACATGCTATCTCTTTAGATATTTGGGTATATGAAAATTATATTTCCAGATGCTAACTCTTTTCTCTGATTGACAGAGAATACCCTACATCTGCTTCTGTTAATTGTGACTAAGATTATAGTGAGGCATAGAATTTCTCTCAGCTGGGGTAGGTCAGGAATCCAAGAGGCCAGAGACGATCCTTAAGAGATTCAGCATAAGGGAGGACCTGGTATGCCTTAGATACATTTCTTGGAGTTTGCTGGCTGAGCTTGTAACTAGACATTGCCTGCTTCGTGTAAACACTGCACCTGAGGGTAAAGATAGAGGCTTCATGTTCCTTCTTCTGTATTTTTATATACAGAGCTTTTACAGAGTCATTTCTCTTTGGCTGGCTACAGACTTCTCTCTCCTTTGGGTGGAGCTGAGCTCACTCAGAAAACAGGGTAATTTTGAAAACACCACACCTATAATTGAAAAGAATTTTTTAAGGCCTTTTACAATGTATCTTTTTCTGTTGCCTCTTACACCATCCAAAATCAAACCAGCTGAATCCAGCACCCAGGTGGCAGCTGTTCAGGTTTGGCACCAAACAACCCTTGGGACCCAGGGCGTGACTGCTCAGTGAAATCAGTCATAGCCCACGAGGCAGCTCTGGCTACTTTCTCTTTCCATTGCAAAGGCCCTAAGTTATTTGAATCATGCATTTTTATTGAACAGTAAATCAAGGACGACAGAAGACCTAGGCTACACACACAAGAATCACAGCTTCACAATTGGGGTCCACAGGAAGCAAATCTGTGCATGTTCACTGCAGACTTGGGTCATGGGCACCAAGGATGGGACTAGAGGAAGGGATCAGATCACCTCTACCACACATTTCGGCAAGGGCAGAGATTACATTTTATTTTTTGTTTGTTTTTTAAGGCTATCGTTGGTCAAAGATAGATTAATACAAATGTAACTTTTAAAAATCATTCCTCATACTCCAAGTCTCTGGCTATAACATCATAATAATAATCCTTGATCGCCGGTACCAGGCACTGCTACATGTCCTTTATATACTTTCTCTTAAATCTCACAATTTACCTAAAAACGATTTACTTGATTATCACTGTACTACAGAAACGGAAACTGAAACCCAAAACAATTAAAATCTTTACCTAACAGTAATTTCCACCTCAGTCTTCGCCTCTGTCTCCTCTTACCACTTTTCTAACTTTTTGTGCGACCTTCATTTTTCTTCGTTTTTTTTTTTTCCTTCTTGATTTTCCTTTCCTTCCTTGGGCTTCAGGAGAAAGAAGTTTAGGATCTTAGAAGCATACCTAAATGTTGAACTCAAATAAGAAAAGACAAGTGCAACGTGAAATTGCTGTGCAAAGAGGAAAAAAGTCAACAGGGCAAGGATTTACTCCTGCCCCACGCCTCCCCGCTGGCTGTCTTCAGAAGCTGCTGAGCTCACCTGGCTGCCAAAACAAGTCTGAGAAGGAGCGAGAAGTGAACACATTAGTCTTGCATCACTTGCCCCACTTCCCACCCACTTTCTCGGAAGGCAGGATGGTAAACATCACGTCTGCTGATCTCGCTGCAGTTCAGCTTTCAGCTCTGTACTGTCCGGGGGCCAAGCACCCCAAAGAATCTGGAGGATTCAGACAAGTGAAATTTTAACTGTAATACCTCCCACTTGTATAAAGAATGTTCTCACATGTCATCTCATATCATCACTTGCATTCTCTTACTCATTAAAGTGTATACGAAGTTTGAGATGAAAGTGAGGATGGTGTTTCCCTAAATCAGCTTGAGATCTTGATAACAAAGAAATCCTATCTTTCTTGCCCATTGTAATAGTGTTCGAATGCAGTTGCATGAAACACAAAAAGGACTGGTGGCACAAAGCAGAACCATCTCTGGGGACATCTGTCTGAAGAGCAGTGGGCAGTTGACCCCAATATGTGCAAGTCAGCAGTGTTGGACTTCAGTACTGGACGCTTCTGGCTGCCTGTAAGACCTCTCAGAAGTCTCGACTGTTTTTCTAGACAGCTCATGAATGGAAAAGATGTTAAGTTATAAGGACTTGGAAAGACTTTTATGGAAAATTGGGAATCTGATTTAGGAGAATGAACTGAAAGGTTTAATTAGTCTTCACAGTTGGCCTGTGACTCTGAATATATTGATCTCTTGGATTTAGGAAGGGAATCTGTGTGAGAGTAATACACTCTCCCTCATCCTTACCTCAAGGGGACTTTAGTTCGGCCTCACGTTCCTGGCAGCCCAGCCCTCTGCTCCTGCCGGCAGCCCCAGCCCTTCCCAGAGATCTCTCAGAGGGGGGTTGTCAAATTCAAAGAATGATTTGGTAATTCCTACCAGACACTGGAATTTCCAAATCCACACATAATTGTTTTTGTTCTTTTTTAATCCTCACTTGAGGACATTTTTCCATTTTTTGTTCAGATAGAGTGGGAGGAAGAGAGAGAGAGAGAAACATCGATGTGAAAGGGACACATTGAGTGGTTGCCACCCACACGACCAACCAGGACTGGGGACAAACTGCAACCGAGGTACGTGCCCTTAGCAGGAACCGAACCTGGATCTCTCTGGACCACAGGCCGACGCTCTAACTGCTGAGCCAAACTGGCCAGGGCCACACACAATTGTTATATGTGAAACAAAGATGGAAAGCCCCTGCACCTAGAAGCAACACCTCTTTAGAAAGGTGAATTGGGCCCTGGCCGGTTTGGCTCAGCGGTTAGAGCGTCCACCTGCGGTCCCGAGAGACCCGGGTTCGGTTCCCGCTAAGGGCACGTACCTCGGTTGCGGTTTGTCCCCGGCCCTGGTTGGTCGTGCGGGTGGCAGCCACTCGATGTGTCCCTTTCACATCGATGTTTCTCTCTCTCTTCCTCTCTCCCCCTCCCACTCTACCTGAACAAAAAAAAAAAAAAAAAAATAGAAAAATGTCCTCAGGTGAGGATAAAAAAAAAAAAAAGAAAGAAAGGTGAATTGGTCTCCAGCCAAGCAGAGTTGCAGTTAGAGCTCTGCTTTTGCATATCCAGCAAAGAAGCATTTTAATCAGTCAGTATATAAGAGAGTGTTCATCTAATTTTACATATACAGGGTGAACATAACATTTATTATTTAAATTGATACTTTTAAGAGCAAGAGGGTGAAGTACTGACAATCACAGCAGAACAATAACCTGGTATTGATATAAGCCTGAGCTTTCCAGGCAAAACAGGGCATGTGGTCCACCCACCCACCCACGCGTGAATCTTTAAAACAGTGTTTCGGTGTTCCTCTTAGTATTTTTACCGCATCAAAATGTGGTAAGGATATTGTTCCCTTTCCTTTTTTATACTGCAAAGTAAACTTGTTGCACTTGAAAATTAATTCTACCTTCTGAGTCTCAGCTGATCTGTTTTGAACCTCATCATGTATCTTACTCCTATGAAACTGAAATGCAGATGTTCCGCACACCAAGACTTCTGTGCGCCCTCCAGAAGACAGAAGTAACTATAGACCTTTCCACTATTTCAACATGTATTCAAAGACAGTTAGTTTTATTTTGAACTACTTCAAAGTTTATTTTGGATATAAAGTGTCAGTTTTTCCTAAAATTCTCCGATTTTCAGTAGAGCTATAGACTCAACTTTTACTATTTTTTACAATTTTTTGTTAATTCTCACCCAAGGAGATTTTTTTTTTTTTTTTAGAAAGAGTGGAAAGGTGGGGGGGGAGACATCGATGTAAAAGAGACACATCAATTGTTGCCTCCTGCATGTGCCAACTGGGGTCGGGGATCAAACCTGCAAACCAGGTGTGTGCCCTTGACCAGAAATCAAACCTGTGACCCTTCAGTGTTCGGGCCAATGCTCTAACCACTGGGAACACCGGCCAGGGCTGAATTCCTTTTAGAAGAACTTTGAATATATATATCGGCAATTTACTATTGATTATCAGATGTCATAAATCAACATAATCTCCAACCCCTACCCTATAGGTCAGATGTCTGCCTAATTTATGTACAGATATGTAGATAGATAGATAAATATATACATGCATTTGGGGGGGGTCTAATTCAAATATACATATTGGGGAAATTGGTTTGAATACTCCAGATTTTAAGAGGGCTTATTTGGCTACATTTAAATTTTTTATTTTATTTAACAGGGTGTTGTGTATTAATTTTTTTCTCCTGCTATACACATTTTTGTAAGCTTTTCCAAATTATTTGGAATTAGGTGAAGTATAAATAAATGACCACATAGATGATCGGGGTGGGGGGAAGAAAGTGGGTTTTAGGACTGGGAAATGTAGAGGTTTAAGCAGTGATCAACTGGGGCAAAGGTGACAGCACCTGCAAGAACGGAGAGGGTGCCTCGCAAGTGCATCGTGCAGGTTGAATTGTGGGGTGTTCTGGATTCATCGACTTTTCTACCCTGTATTAGCATCAAGATATCTACTTCCCTTTCTGCATTAGCTGACATAATTGTATAAGGTAGGGTATTACTCTAAGGAATTCTGGAATCCCTGCAATGTGTCTTTGTTTTTGTATGCACGTTAGCTTATCTTTTAGCTTTTAAAGCACTAGTTGTGGGAAAAGCAGTTTCTTTCTGCTAACTGAAACCTCCCAGGTGAAATTCACCTTGTTTGGAGGCATTTTAATTCTTTCCAGATAGACATTAATTTATCTAGTTATTGACTGAAAGTTATAATTCAACTACAAAATGAGAGCAATGTATTCTCTTCCTCTGACAGATTCATGCCCATTGGCCTGCATCATCTTCAACAAAAGGTGACCCACCTACTGGGTAAGTGAAGCTTAGTGAGGCTTGGCAATGTTTATACAATTTTTGAGTTCTTATTGAAAAAGTGCTGTGGTCGCCATAAAAAGTTAGTCCTTATTTTATCTGTGTTCAGAATAAGAATCATTTTTCATAAACTCAACTTTTTTCGAAGATAGTACAGGTTAGTAACTAGCTGTTTTTCTAAATAGCTCAACCTGTCTTTGAGACCAGTTTAAATTATACCTGATATGAGTTCGTTATTTCCTATAGTTTACTAGAACAGAGGTCCTCAAATTTTAGCATGCCTCAGAATCACCTGGGAGGGTGGATCTCCGCTCCAGAGCTTCTGATTCAGTGGGTCTGGGGTGAGGTTCACGAGTGAGCATTTCCATCAAGTTCGCGGGTGAAGTGGATTCTCCTAGCTCCACACTTGAGCCTCTCTCACCAGTGGAACTGAGAGCAGTGACATGCAAGGGAAGTTGTGAAAACTTCTCGCAAGAGGTGAACATGTGGTCATTTTAGTTACATCTGTTTTTTACTTGCATGTGTTCTTACTGATTTTGCTTTGGAAGGGGGCTGTAAAGAAAAAAGAATGACTTCTAATACCCACGTCTAGACCTAGTGTTATTTGACTAAATGTCTATCAGTGCCTGCCTCCAAATCCAGTTCCTCTGCTCACAACCTCTCCCTCCGCCAAATACAAAACAAAACAAAGGGGGGCGGGGGGTCTCAATGTTGTGGTCTCCTACCAGCACTTAAAAAGTTAACAATAGCACTGAACAGAATTGCTCAGGTCAGTGGAGGGTAAAACCAGCATTTGGAAATGCTGTGAGAACACAAATAGTTTAAGCTGTGGAAGAGGCCTGAGGAAATTACAGAGGGAAAACTTTCCGTCCAAGGTTCCAGTTGCCAAGGAGTTTGTGTAGATTGCTGGAGACCTCACCCCTCCATGACTCCTCTGTGACTCACTGTACGCCTGGGAAGTCTCTGATTCAGTAGCCAGAGAAAACTCAGAAACTCTGCCTTTGATCTCACTGAGGTGAAATGCATTAGAGAGCTTTGGTGTCTGAAACCCGGATGTTTCTGATCAAATAGACAGTAGCAGAGCCTACCCTCCAATTCCTAGAAATCAGCTTGGTGGAAGGTTAAGATTAGCGGAAGCTGTGCAGTGGGTCCCGTTGCAGCAGCTGTCGGAGTGAGGGAGCACAGAGCTGGAATGTGCTTGGGCCCAGCTTAGATGTCTGGTTGGGTTTGGCACATCAAAGTCACTTAGTTATGTTCTTGGAATCCAGCTTGGATTCCCCTTTTTTGGAGTTGGATGGCCTCCTACAGGTAGAAATTCCCACATGTGAACTAGCTTTCCTCTCTGGATACATTTTATTCTTTGCCATTTTACAGTTTGCCTTTGCAATGCTAACCGGAGGCAAATCTGTTCCTTTTCCTTTCCCTGACAAAGAGGAACCTAATGCTGCAGTGGTTAATCAAACTTTTTCTTGGTCTGGATGAGTGCTTCTCACTGTACATGTAAATTGCCTTGGGATCTTATTAAGAAGCAGTAGGTCTGGGTTGGGACCTGAGATTCAGCATTTCTTTCTTTCTTTTTTTTTTTTATCCTCACCAAGGACATTTTTGCATTCCTCTTCTGATAGAGTGGGAGGGAGAGAGGGGGGAAGAGCGAGAGAGAAACATCAATGTGAGAGAGACACATCGAGTGGTCGCCACCCACACGACCCCAACCGGGACCAGGGACAAACTGCAACCGAGGTACATGCCCTTGGTGGGAACTGAACCCGGGCCTCTCTGGTCCGCAGGCCGACGCTCTAACCACTGAGAAAACCAGCCAGGGCAAGATTCTGCATTTCTAACAGACACCCAATTATTGATGCTGTGGGCCTGAAGACTGGGCTTTGAGTAGCAAGGGGATTTATTCTTAACCCAGACTCCTCAGTAAGATCCCCCTGAGAGGCAATTTGTTTGTTTGCTTTACTTTTAAGACCAATAACTAGGTGCCTGTTCATCTGATTTGACTGGCCTAGAGTGGGCCCTCGTATTTTTTAAAGAACTTCCTAGGTGATATATTATGCAACCAGGGTTGAGAAAACAAGTTCGAATGAATATTTTTCAAACTGTGGGTACCAATCATTAATGGGTCAGAATCAGAAACAACATTACAAACATTGTTTAAATGAAGTAGAACTGAGCAGAACACTATAGAGCACCTTATAATAGCATAAATACTGTTTTGTGAAATTTTTTAGGTATATATCTGTCTGGATATACATTTCTAAATGTAAAATATATTACTGAGGATAATAGTCAAAACACTTTAAAAGACTGCTGCAACTACTTAGCTCTGTCGCTAGTGTCAAAGCAGTCATAGATAATATGTAAACGAACAACGTGGTGGTATGAAATTTATATTTCATACAATTTTTATACATTATGAAATATCTCCTGTTGATTGCTTTTCAACCATTTACATACACAAATAATTCTCAGTCATGGTCCCTGTGTAGATTTCTGACCTAGGTTGAGATTATCTTCTGGTTTTGCCCTCAACCTGACTTGATCAGTTATAACCAATTGCCTCAAGCTTGGTCCAAAAATAGGCTACTTCATTCCTTGTATTTTGATTAAAAACATCTGGATTTAGAGGCGAGGCTTTTTGTGGTTGTTAGTAATAATACTTATTGTTGCTGTTCAAACAAAATTGTATTTTGGGCTTTAAAAATGTATGTCAATACAACAACATAGATGGACCTAGAAGGTATTATGCTACATGAAAAAGACAAATACCATGATTTCACTTACATGTAGAATACAAAATAAATGAATAAACAAATGCATAGATACAGAGAACAAATTGATGGTCCCCAGATGGGAGAGTTGTGGGTTAAAAGCTAAAAGGGATTAATAAGTACAAATTGACAGTTGTAAAAAACAGTCATGGGGGTATAAACAGTACTAAACAGTCATGGGGGTGTAAACAGTACTAAACAGCCATGGGGGTGTAAATTACAGCATATTATTGTTAATAATATTGGGACTATACATGGTGTCAGATGGGTACGAGATTTACTGGAATGGTCACTTCATAAATTATATAAATTCCTATGTTGTATGCCTGAAACTAATATAATATTGTATGTCAACTGCAATTTAAAATTTTTTAAATCTATGTCAATGTCCTCTGTTAAATATGGCAAAATAGTTTTGACTAAAAATAACCAAATCACTAAACAGAAAACTGTGTCTTTACTCTTCTTTGTGTAACAGCATTTCACTGTGACAGTGAAATCCCAATACTTTCCTTGATAAACCGGCAATATATCATAAGAACTAGATTTGAAAGGTATGCTTTGCAAATGTACAATTGATAAAAAAAAAAATAATTACCAAATGCAAGTTACTTACCAGAGAATGTAATTCTCTCATCCTACTGAAAGAAAAACGTTATTCTTGAAGAGAAATCTAGAGAATTTCAACGAAAGCCATGGTTAAAAAAGTCCTCCTTTTTCTTAGTTACTTGGCATATTGTACATTTTTTTAGTTACCTGTTGGGCTTTTTAATTTAGTCCACTGAAGGGTTAACAATAAAAGCTGATTGGGTATTTTGGTGGGTTGGGGAGAGTATTCCACTGATTTTGGCTACAATAAAAAATGTTTATTCAATGCCCACTGTGTACCTGTTACTTGCCTCAGCCCTTGAAGATACTTTTAAAAGACAGACAACTTCGGAACTCATTTACATTCTAGAGGCAGAGGCTGCTCTGCAATTAGACAGATCTGTAGTTACCAACTGTGATGAGGCCAAATGTAAGTGCTGGGAAGAATACATTAGGAGACTCGTGTTTGATTAGGTGTTTCTTAGGAGGCATCTTTGAGGGATGAGATTTTAGTCGAGGCCTAAAAGACACTGGGGTTACTCAGGTCACGAATGGAGAAAAGACCGTCCCAGACAGGAAATATTCTGTATGAAAGCTCAGAAAAGGAAAAGCAGGTGGTGGTTCCAAAGGGCTGTGAGGCCGCTCAAGCAGAACCCAGAGAGGGGGGAGAACACAAGCTGAGAGCAGAGAGGTAAGCAGGCCCAGACCACACAGGGCCTGGTGGCCAGGTACGGACATTGGTTTATTCCAAAGGCAGTCAGAACTAATCTTTAAAGATGTTATATAGGGTAGTCAGTTACACGAACAGATTTGCATTTTTTTTTTTTTTTTTGTTCAGGTAGAGTGGGAGGGAGAGAGAGGAACAGAGAGAGAGAGAGAAACATCGATGTGAAAGGAACACATCGAGTGGCTGCCACCCGCACAACCGACCAGGGCCGGGGACAAACTGCAACCGAGGTACGTGCCCTTAGCGGGAACCGAACCCGGGTCTCTCAGGACCGCAGGCCAACGCTCTAACCACTGAGCCAAAGCGGCCAGGGCCAGATTTGCATTTTTAATCTGCAAGTGGGGAGAGGTCAAAACTCATGTTTGGCCCTGGCCGGTTTGGCTAGGCGCTTAGAGCATCAGCCTGCGGTCCTGAGAGACCCGGGTTCGGTTCCCGCTAAGGGCACGTACCTCGGTTGCAGCTTGTCCCTGGCCCTGGTTGGGTTGTGTGGGTGGCAACCACTTGATGTGTCCCTTTCACGTCAATGTTTCTCTCTCTCTCTCCCTCCCTCCCACTCTATCTGAACAAAATATCAAAAAAATGTCCTCGGGTGAGGATTAAAAAAACAAAAAAACTCAGGATTGGTTTGTTCATCTTCAAGTGTCAACACCTAGTAGAATGCAATACACATTCACTGTTGCTATTACAATAAGTACTCAGGATCACTCTCGCTCCTGCTTAGTAAACAGATGGGAGTGTGTGCCCAGAATGAAAGTGGGGAAACCTGCTGAGAGAGGCTGTGCTCCGACAAGAGATGCTGTTGCTTTGGACAGGTGACGGTGGCAGAGCTGGAGGGAAGAGGACAGAGTCGTGATGTGTTTCAGAAATGGAATACTGTGGTTGGCGGCTGACTAGGTGGAAGCAGGTGAAGAGGGAAGAATTAAAGGTGACTCCCAGATTTTGCTTAAACCAGTAGGTGAAGGAGAACATGGGAGAAGATACAGGGTTCATGGGCTAGATTAATCAATTTTGAAAACATTTCTTTGAGATGTCTATGAAATAGTCAAGTGGGAACATCAAGGAGGCAGCTGGGCATACAGGCCTGGAAGTGAGCAGTGAGGACGAGGACGACAGGATAAATGCGGAGTCACCGGCACGTGTATGTACTCCACTTATTGTTTGTAAACAATGCCACTTTGGTACCTACTCTATGTTAGGCATTGTTCTGCATTGAGAATGTAAGAGGAAAAAACAAAGTTTTATATACAATGTTCTTTAAAGATACAGTACTTACATTAAGCAGAATACAGAGTTAGACAGAATTTGAGAAAGAAGAGTGCTTCAA